ACCGGCAACTGGTGGCTCCGCTTGACCAAAAGCCAGGAAGGACAAAAGCAAAATGTCTATGAAGAGTCTCTTCCTCCGAGTTGATTTGACAAGGGCCTGGTGTCCCAGGGCAAGTTGGCGGGATGCCCGAGAGTGAGCCAATCGCTGCAGCGTCAGACACTAAGCCGGGAGTGCAAGTGAAAGGTGAGGAACCCAGAGTGGAGGGAACTAAGCCAAGCTGCCAGGACTTGAGCAATTATAACCCCAAGGACAAACCACTCTGCCCAAAATAGCCTCCCAAGAGAGTTTTAACTGATCATTTTGAGTCTCTATCCCAGTACTGACTTTCAGGTCTGTGTATATAGCATTGATTGGGCCCCTATTATATGCTAGCACCATGAAAGGTACAAAGATATGGTCTTCCACACAGACAGGGCAGACCCACGGAAACAATGGAGAGCTGTATGCCAGTCCACAGCACAGTGCCAACCTGTGCAGTACCAGTCACAAAGGCAGTTGAAATTCACAGAAAGGTACGGTCAGGGTGTGCTGCCACAGGCGGTGGTGGCTTCCTGGAGAACATGAAATGAAGGAAGGAAGACAGAGTACAAAGAGAACAGTATTGCAGGAAAGAAAAAGAGTATAAGCCAAGGTGAGGAAGCAACAATGACCTCTTTGGCCGTGGGAAGCCCACCTGTGCAGCCAAGGGTTCTTGCTGGAGACGAATGAGAGAGCAAGTTAGATGAGTAGAGACGATGAGATCATGGAGGCCCTGGATTCCAAAAATATTGGCCGAGAAAATTCAATAGGCAGAATCCAGGAATTCATCATATGGGTGAGAAAGCATCCCAGGCTTTAAGAAGGCAATTAAGAACAAAAAATGTAATTTAGGAAGATTTATGTGGTGGTAGTGTTTGAAATGGATTAGAGAAGGAAGGACTAACAGCAAAAAAAAAAAAAAAACCTGTCCCCCAGCCCTGGTGGTTTGGTCAGTGGTTGAGCATCGACCCATGCACCAGGAGGTCGCCGGTTAGATTCCCAGTCAGAGCATACACCCAGGTGGGCCAGATCCCCTGTGGGGGGCATGCAGGAGGCGGTCAGTCTATAGTCTCTCTTATATCTGTGTTTCTATATCTCTCTTTCTCTCCCTCTCCCTTCCTCTCTCTCTAAAGTCTATAAAGAAAAAATATATTTTTTAAAAAACTGTCTCCCCTCCTCCCAAAAATCCTGAATACTTCTTTGAACATCCACTAAAGGTCTTACTGCATGCACACTTAATAAACATGGTTCTCCTCGTGCCAGGCTTCACAGTCCAGTGGGGATGACATTCAGTAATCCCATAGTTACCTATTAAGTACCTCCTATGTACCAAGGAATATACTGGGCCATGGAGATACAGGGAAGAACTAAACAAAGCCCAGGTTCTCATGAAGCTCATTTTCCAATGGACATGGAAGACAACACAAAAAGAAAACCAATAACTATATCAATATAAAGTCAGTACTAAGTGCTACTGAGAACAATAAAGCAGGGCACTGGGTGGAGGATGGTGGGATGAACTGGTTGGGGAAGGCCTCTCCAAGAAAATGCCACCATATTTCAAGCCCAGAGAATAGGTAAAATGGAGATGCCACTGCTAGAAATAAGGCTATTGAGAAGGTGACTTAGTGTGTACGGGGAACATGGGGAATCTTGTTTTAAGTGTGTCAAGCTTGTGATAAAAGCAAGATAACCACACAGAAATGTCTCTGGCTCTAGAATGCTAATCTTCAAGACCAGAGGAAGGTAAAGGTTAACTACGTAGAGTTAATAATCCTTCTCTCCAAAACAAATTTACATGAAGTGAAAGTAAGTCAAGGACTGAAAAAAATTGGCGTGTAAGATACACACTGGTTTTATGTGTCCCCTATGATGATCCTCTCCCTACAGCCTCATGGAGCCCCAGGGTGGGCAGTGACTCCAGTCGGCAGCAAGCAGCTGGTTAGTAAAGTACTACTAATAATAATTGAGATTCATACACAACCCACCCAAAGACCTCTGTCCTCTGCTCCTTCAATCTCCAACGCACAGTGGTAGGGACAGCTCTATTGTCTTCTGAACTTCCCCCTAAGACCACATGTCACCCCTTTGGGTTGTTTCCTTTGCAGATGGCTCTGGGTACTTCAATGTTTGGAAGAAACGGATTTGGAAAGCAAAATCAATTTTAAACTGGCCTTCTTTGTGTTCCTAGAAATGTTAAGAATTACATATTGGGGAAGACTCAAAGGTAGGGTTTCCAACTGTCCCAGCCTGCCTGGAATGGTCCCGGTTTCAGCACTGTTAAGTCATGCATCTTGGGGAAATCCCTCAGTCCTGGGCAAAGAGGGACAGTAGGTCAAGGAGGCTGGTCAGACTTTCAGAGCGATAACCCCTGTCTAACCTGTGTGATGCAACACAAGGCTTTACATCTCTAAAGTGACATCAGTGCTGTGAAGCCTGGGCTTAGTTTTCCAGGCCCTACCTAATCCCTAGAGGCTGGGTTCTCGTTCCCCACCCAGACAGAGACAGTCTCAGAAATTCCTAAGTAGGAGATGATCCTGGATTCCTCAGCCTCCTATTTCCCTCATCTCTCATTCAGCCCCAGCTAATACCTAAACCAAGAACACCAACTCCACAGGCAACCCCAATCCATGCCATTTTCTGTCCTCTCTGCCCAGCCCTGGCCAGCAAGCAGGTGGGGTCTGGGGGTCAAACTCTGATGATCAAAGAGGGAAAGCGAGGTGGTGATGTGCTTTACCACCAAAATTCACAAGAAAGGGGAACCCCAGAAAAATTACACAGTCTGCTGACCTTGAAAGACACATGGTTTGCGTCTTTGAGTTACAGAAACACCGGAAATACTTACTGACACCTTTATTTCGAAATGTGGGCTTCAAAGCTGGGCTGACTCACCTTCAGAGCATAAATCAGGTAAAAGCCCTGATATTAAGATGCACGTAATATATTCTTCCAAAAGCCACAATGTTTGCAACACTCATAGATCTTGGAAAAGCCTACAGATCATTTCTGCCAGTCATTAGAGACTTCTCCAAAAGTATAAGGAAGATTCAAAGAAAATGCTAAGACTGACATTAATCTCTTGCTTAGTCTCTTGTTATGGAATTTTCCTGCCTGACAAGGTTAAAAGAATAATAACCAAGAGATCCAATCTTCCAGAAATAATCCCTATTTGGCTCCTTGTCACCTTGACTGCTTGTGGACAGACAAAAGTGTAGACTGTTAAATAAGCTATTGAGCCCTGGCCAGTTTGGTTCAGCGGTTAGAGCATCGACCTGCGGTCCTGATAGACCCGGGTTCGGTTCCCGCTAAGGGCATGTACCTCGGTTGCAGTTTGTCCCCGGCCCCGGTTGGTCGTGCGGGTGGCAGCCACTCGATGTGTCCCTTTCACATGGATGTTTCTCTCTCTCTCTCTCTGTTCCTCTCTCTCCCTCCCACTCTACCTGAACAAAAAATGGAAAAATGTCCTCAGGTGAGGATAAAAATAAATAAATAAATAAGCTATTGAGTTAACCTTGCCCAATCTTCACAAACCAATCCTATATCCTGAACTATGAATAGCCAAGGCAAAGAGTAGTTGTATTGTTGCCTTTTTAAACTGAATTGTCCGGGAAATTGCCTCAGACCTCCAAAGAAAGATTACTGCTAAAATTTTCAGAGATTCAAATTTTTGATCCCTAAAACAGCTCTTCCTCCTGTCCCTCCAGAAGGGCTCAGCCCGAAGGATTGTGACAAGCTGTTGCAAGATTGCATCACTGACCTTTGCAATTTTCTGGCCAGTCTGATTTCCCCCTTCCTTCCCCTGCCCTCTCCCTTTGGCCTACCAGTTTCTCTTGTTCCTGACTTACTAACTCTGGCATATGGAGAACCAAAGCTAAATCAGAATACCACACACACACACACTCACACATGGCGATGGTGTTTAATCCTAATCACAATCAATCCGAATATCCTCACACTTCTGAGAGTACTCTCCAGTCTTTAACTTCTTACCCAAACTCTCTACTCTCACCCTTCTGCCCCTAAACTGTTTCTTTGATAAGCCCAGCTGGCACAGTGGCGCTGTACCCCCGGATCCTGGGAAGTGGCAAATAATGTTTGAGGACAGCATTACATACTTACATTCCAGACAAGCAAACTAATTTTTACTAACAGCCTCTCTTTTTTCTTTACCTGTCCCCCAGTCCCCAACATCACTTCTTAATTGGGAAGGGGGGTGGTTTGGATTTAATGGCAGTTCCCTGATACACAGAAATACATACACAAATTCCTGCAGAAACAGAGACTGACATCGCACACACACACCCGCACACCTGTGCATAACAGGGCACCTTCAATGAATAGTTCTCTATCTGGTGACCCTCACAAGGCAAGCACCTGTGCAGAAAACCAGTCAAGCCAGAAAGAAACGTTGTCAGCACACACTGCCTTATGTAGAGCCTGGAGACAGGACCTGTTCTTTACCGGGACCCCTCCCCCCTAGTCTTCTCCCCCACGGTCCCCCCAACTGTGGGAGGATGACAGCCCTTCTGAATAAAAACCAGTCGTTTTTTCGTTAGGTGGAACCCCAGATGTCCTCAATAGGGGATCCTTTTCAGGCTGCCCGGGAAGAGGGAGGCTGTGCACCCGCCCACACCCCTGAGAGTCAGGTCACAAGTGCGCGCAGACACCTCCCTGGGCTCGGGTTCTCACCCTTGCGTGCACCTGGCGCGGACCTCCCCGTGCAGGTCTGCCCTCCCCGGCACCCGGGCGGGGCCTGCCCCTCGTGGCCTTCCCCTGGGGGGCCCCCAGCTCACACCGCCCTGGCGTGCACAGCTCGTGGCCGCCGGCTCCTCCCCTCCCCCCTCGCTCCCTCCTCCCCTCCTCCGCCGCTGGCTGGAGCCGGGCAGGCCCCAGTCGGGGAGCCCGGGGAGCCCAGGGGGCGGGTCCAGCAGAAGGATTTAAGCGGCCGGCCGCGGGACGCTGACAGGGTGTCAGCTGCGGAGTCTCCACCTGGAAGAGCCGCGGCTGCCCAGGAGGAGGAGAACGCGGAGCCGCCGGACCCACGGACGCGCCCACTGCCCCCAGCTCGCGCTGCCTCCTAGGAGCTCGCTGCCGGTTCAGGTGAGCCGGCTGGGGTGGGCCCGGCGGGGCGCGGGGCCTTCCCTGGGGCTGAGGGAGAGGTGCTGGGCCGCTGGAGCCACCTGCAGCGACTGACGTCCCTGGGCCGCTCCGCTCCTCCCGCAGGTCCCTCCCGCAGGTCCCTCCCAAGAGCGCAGAGCCGGGATGGAGACGGTACAGGAGCTGATTCCTCTGGTCAAGGAGCTGATCGCCCAGAAGCCCAACCGGAGGCTGGTGAAGATGTACCTGCTGGGCGGCGTGCTGGCCTTGCTCAGCGCGGTGCTCTGCCTGGTGGGGACGGTGTGCAGTCCCTTCACCGCCGCCAGCCGCCTGCAGGACGAGGAGGCAGCCGTGGCCGAGCTGCGGGCCGCCCGGGAGCGCCAGGCCCCTCAGGCACAGGCCCTGCTGGAGAAGGGCAAGCAGCATGAAGCCATCGCCTGCAGCCGGGCCCTCGCCAACCGGCAGCACGCCTCCTAGAAACTGGGAGACCCGCAGTGGGGGAGAGGAGAGAGAGCGAGCCTGAGAGAAACAGAGACTGAGACTGAGACTGAATCAAGTAGGAGAGAGCAGGAGTCCTGTGCTGTTTGGACTTACTTCTGTGGAGCCACTGATTTCTAGAACTGAACGAGCTCACAGACCCACCGAAGGGAGTTTGGGAAGAGTTTTGCTGCTGTGCAGCACTGCTGATGACACGTGCATCTGTGATTTTGCACGAGGGCAGAAGGAGGAGAAATGCTTTTTATATTATTAATAATATTATTATCATTATTATTATTATTATTTTTACAATGACCACCATTTTGCATTTTGAAAAAGAAAACGTTTTGTAATGTATCTGTCTCTGGTTCCTGAGGGGCATGGTTCCCTGGGGTGGGGTGAGGGGCAGTAGGGGGGGCATGCTGGTGAAAGGGTCTCACCTGAGTGAGCACTGGAGGGAGCAGCTTCCTACAAGTCAGGCAACACTTTCTTCACTGCTAGAGACTCTGATATTCATATTCCAACCTTATTAGTCTGTTGAGGATTTGTTTTCGTTTCACATTAGGGGTAGAAAGAGAGAAACTTCCATAAGTCCCACCAGACTTAGCATTTTAAGATCAGAAGATAAATCAGCTTCTGAGCTAGAGTACCTGAATGGGAGATCATGATCATTGCTAGTGCAGGAAATCCATTTGTCATTTAACACCTGTGCACCAGAGGCTCCTCCGGCTGATACCCCTTCTTAACCATATGCTAGCAAGAGAAAGGGGGGGGGGGGGAAGGCAAAGGGGAGGGGAAAAGCAGCTAGCTGGGAGGAAAAGAGGGAAGGCAAGCTCTCAAGAACCATTGGATGTCTAGTTCTACCCAGCCTTCCTCCTTATGAACTCAAGTCACAGTAAGAGAAGCTGTAGGTTCGAAAAAGAAAAGACTAAAAAAAAAGAAAAAGAAAAGACTAGTTGTCACAGACCTAAGTCTTCTTCCTCCAGGGAATGAGATTACTTTGCAGTAATAACTAATTCAGTGTGTCCATAGTGCTCAATAAAGGACATTTTGAACAATGGCCCTTAAAGAGGTAGCTAGGGACATGGGTCTGATGCCACTCTCCTTGCAGTTGTAAAATGTCTCCTGCCCGCCCTGGCTGGTTTGGCTCAGCAGTTGGAGCATCAGCCTGTGGACCAGAGAGTCCTAGGTTCAGTTCCCGCTAGGCCCTAGTGGCTAGGGGCACATACCAAAAATAAATAAATAAATAAAGTAAAATGTCTCCTGCCCTAGCCAGGTACACACTTTCCACTCTTGTCATCAATAGCTATGTGTTTTTGCCCAACATACACGGTTCCTGTCATTGCCTCTGATCAGACTCTCTCCAGCACCACCACCCTCCCGCACACCCCTCCATTTTATTTCTGCCAGCTCAAATCCTACCTGGGGGATCCTGGCCCCAATCAAATGTCATCTCTCCCTGAAATGTATCCTTATCACTCCAAACAAAAGAACAATCAGACTGGGGTGAGTTAATCAAGGGCAAAGAGATGTATATATAGAGGGAGAAAAGAATATCAACGGTACCACTTTCCTCCCTGTTTCCAAATTGGGAAGTTCACCCCTATATTAAGACATAGCCTAACCTTAAATACCCAAGAACTTCTTAGGAATTCACCCAATCTTATTCTTCCAGTTGGTATTCCCAAGAGCCTCTTCTTTTATGTTAATTATTCCTCCCTCCGTTTAGCCACCACTGTGTCCAGCTCTCAGCAGCTCAAACCACCCCCTTGGACATTTGCCCCAAACCAGTCCACTGCCAGACTGCTCTTCCTTCATGCACGGAACCTACCTGATTGAAACTAAATAGGGAAGAAGATACAGCACAGGATTTCATTCCAAAAAAAGCAATTGCATGGCCGCAGAATTATGAAGGATTATTCTAGCAGCAGAGTGAAAAAGACACCAGTATTTCCACCAATTACAAGTGCAATGTAAGCCAACAAGGGCTTGTGACAGGGCCACTAAAACAAAATAACACCTCATTGGTAAAAGGAGAATGTCCAGAAAGAGGGAAGAGGAGGTGGTTTTGTTTTACTTGGCAGCCTGGCAGGTGGGAAACAAGAGAAGTTCAGTCCTGGATTGCTTGGGTCTGCATTCTGATTCCCTGTTTGTGAGCTCTCAGGCCTCGAACAAGTAAGTTACTTATAAACTGGCTGCCTCGAGTACTTAAATTATTTTCTCGCCTATGAAATAGTACCTTCCTCATGGAATAATTTTGCAAATTAAATGAGTTAAGTGCTTAGAGAGTACCTGACATATACAGTGGACACTTGAACAACGTAAAGGTGCATGGACTTCTGTTGCAGTTGAAAATCCACGTATAAGTTTTGACTCCCCCAAAACTTACCATGAGGGATTGGTTCCAGCCCCTCCCCCCACCTTGTGGATACCAAAATCTGTGGATGCTCAAGCCCTCTCTATAAAATAGCATAGATCAATGTATAAAGTAGGTCCTCCAAATCCATGGACTTCCAACCACGGATTGAAAACGGTATGAGTATTTATTGATAAAGCTCTCAGCCCTGGCCAGATGTTTGGGTTTGATTTCCGGTCAGGGCACATACCTAGGTTGCAGGTTTAATCTCCAGTCAAGGCACATATAGGAGCCAACCGAACAATGTTTCTCTCACATTGATGTTTCTCTTTCTCTCTTTATCTCTCTCCCTCCCCTTCCTCTCTCTGTAAAAATCAATAAAAACATATCTTCAGGTGAGGATTAAAAGAAAGAAAAGAAAAAGGTCTTGTATAAGTAGACCGATACAGTTCAAACCCATATTGTTCAAGGATCAACAGTAGTAATCTTTCAGCAACGACAGTTATTGTTATTATTGTTGTTGTCATTGTTGTTATAATTTAAGACAAAACTGCTTTGATTAGAGTGACTTGGGCAGATGAAGTCCAGAAACCCTGTCACACACAGAAGAGTCAAATGGATCCCTAGAGAAGAGAATATACAGTAGTGTCACTCAACAATTGCCTCCAAATACCTGAAGGGCTACCATATTGGTTTAATAAAATACAATAAAATGGACTTGTTTTACATGGCTTGAAAGTGCAGAACTAGGACTAGCAAGTAGGAGTTCAAAAAAGCAGACCGTAGGTCATTAAGAAGTCAGAGCATTTCAAAACATAATGAGTTGGCTTGTGGTGTATAGTAAGAGCCTCATTACTCAAAACACCCAAGCAGAGGTTAGAAATCATTCACCAAGGATGGTATAAACTGGGGAGGAAACTTCTGAACTTGGAGGGAGGTTAGTCTTATGACCTCTGAGGTCCCATCCAATTATAAGATGCTGGGATTCTGTTTAGTACAACCACCAAATAAGGATTGCTTCTGTAGGACCCACCTCCCCCTCTTCTCTCTGTTTCTAGTGCCTTGTTCTTTTTCTCAGCATGTTGACAAATATTTTTTTTTCTTGCTGGATGACCATTAAAAGTAATGAGTTTTGCCTGGCCAGTGTGGCTCAGCGGTTCAGCATCAACCCATGCACCCAGAGGTTGCCGGTTCAATTCCTGGTCAGGGCACATGCCCAGGTTGTGAGCCAAACCCCAGTGGGGGGCATGCAGGAGGTGGCCAATCGATGTTTCTAACTCTCTCTCCCTCTCCCTTCCTCTCTCTCTAAAGTCAATAAAGAAAAAAAAATGTTTTTAAGTAATAAATTTAATCCTCAAAATAAACTATTCCCTGATTAAATTTATCTAACTAATATTCTTGTCTCTGAGAAAATACCTAAACCTAGTGGCTGAACCTAATAGTTCTCAAACTCTGTCATAATGAAACATTTATTAGCCACCTTCCTCCGTACAAAACCCCACAGAATCTGTTCTATGAGTATAAATAAATATATTAAATATATATGTGTGTGTGTATATATTAGTTTATGTTATATCAGATACCAATTTGCACTATGTTTTGGTGAAAACAAATAGTAAGAATCAACTAAGAATATTAAAAAGTTAACACATTCTTGGAGAAAGTTTGATTGTTCTATAATCATGGTACCCAGAATTAGTTCAAAACCCATTGGCTCACCCTGGCCGGTTTGGCTCAGTGGTTGGAGCATCTCCAGAGAGACCCGGGTTCGGTTCCCGCTAAGGCCATGTACCTCAGTTGCGGTTTGTCCCCGGCCCCAGTTGGGGTTGTGTGGGAGGCAGCCACTCGATGTGTTCTTTCATGTCAATGTTTCTCTCTCTCTCTTCCTCTTTTCTTCCCACTCTGTCTGAGCAAAAATGGAAAAATGTCCTCGGGTGAGGATAAAAAAAATAATAATAGAAAAATGAATAAATAAAATAAAACCCATTGGCTCAATCAATGACAACTCACTTCAGTTAACACACTTGTACAAGCCAACCGTAGCCCTGAAGGTCAGCCAACCAGGAACTGACTCACCCATAAATACATTTCAGAGTGCTAGCCAATCAACAAATAAATATGCTTCCATAAATGAGGTCAGCCCATTTATGTCTGGAAAAGGACACTAATCCCTGAACTCCATAATTCCCAAATATCAACAATGTACTTACTGAGTTCCTTGGACCCAAACCCTATTTGTCCTTCAATCTGCTGCCAGATAAATCAGACCCAACACCAATCTGTACCCAGCTGTTTTCATTGCGTCCTCACCACTTCTATGATTTCTAACCAAGTAGGTCATTGTAGAAAATCATTAAACTTCAATCTTTGTATAAAATAAACAGAAATGTTATTTTGCAGATGTGCATTCTGGTAAATAGTTGTACCTAGACTTTTGCCTAAGGTCATTAGACATGTTTGGAAAGTATATCATTCAGTAATTAGACACAGGTCCATATATTTTCACTAGACCTTTTGTTTTGGAGGTGTACCACTTGACAACCATTTTAGCCATTAAATGACTTATTCTCCTGGTGCTCATTTTGCTTTTGCTTTTGTTTGTCTCTCTTACAGGGTCTTATGTGTTTGTCTTGTTCTGGAAAGCCTTGTTTCTCATGGGTGAATAAGGGAGTTCCATATGGAATGGCCCAGTAAGCCGTCAATTTAATCCATGCTGGTCCTAAGGGATAACGGGGGAGGTCCATTAGAATGGTGACCAGTTCAGGAAAGGGCAATCGGTCAAACTTAGCTTTAGGCTCCACAAACATTCATGAGGGCACTGTGTTGTCAATGTGTGACAGGTTACTTCAGGGTCAGAGATTGCATGGCCTTGCCTAACCTTTGCTTAGACAGGGAACCCAAGATACCATTTGCAGGCACACACTCTTACTAAGTAGCCTCTTGTCTCTCTTGGG